AGTTGAAAAAGCATCATTTTTTTTACTGATATAATACATTTGTTACTGATGTCTAAACGAAAATTCTATTATTTTTTATCTAGATATATTATAAATATATATAGAATTTTCGTTTATATAATATAATATGATATTATTATTATTATTATATATATATATTATATGATATTATTATATAATGTGATATATTAGAAAGAATAGAAAATATAAATATGTAAATATGTTAGCTTGTTCATTTCTTTTTAAATATACAGCTAAAGTAGGCCATACACAGTGCCGTGAATAATTATAAACTCAAAGTAACATTTACATTTTTGCTGATATTTAAAAGAAACTCAACAAACCATATTTACATATTTCTATTTTTTATTATTTCTGATATAAAAATATACATATACGATGTTTTGCCAAATTCTTGTTTAAATATCATTAGCAATGTAAAAGTTACTTGGACTCTGTAATCTTTCACATCATATTTGCCCACGACTGTGTACCCTGAGATCTGAAAAATGAAGATCCCAAAGAACACACTTTCTACGAATTTGATGCGACGACTTTCCATTTGCAACGGCTCGAGCGATGAAGAAAATTAACAATGGGTGTGCGTAAAAATATCTGTGCCCGTAGAACGACTTTTACACCGCAGTAAAGCCTGAGCCGCAATTATTGAATTTGTAAGAACGATAAAACGTGGGCCGTGTAGTGTTGTTTGGATCGGTGTAGCAATTTGATGCTCGTGCGGAGAAAATTTATCTGAAATGACCGCAGAGCGACTTTTCGCGGAGCCAGAGCCGGCCGGGGAGACAGGAATATCAGCGCGCTTGAAATCAGCAGCCGGTAATTATCCCGGCGCTTAATTACTCTCCCACGTTTTTCGGTGCGGCAGGGCATTTTCTTCTTGTCCGGCAGACCCATGGGGAAGGAATTCTCGCGGTGTCTCGTTTTTCACCGGTTCGGTCCTTTCACTTACGGACTCATCAATCTCTTGCCGGGTTTTCCGACGTGTCGGCGTTACCTATGGGAGCTCGTATGCAGCCAGGAACCCTCATCACTAACCGTTCCCCTCGTTCCCTTCTTCTTCCTCCCAGTGCTTTTTGGTTCTGTTACGTAACTTTTCATTATTATTGCTCGCGCAAGCTTGGCCGGTGGATCGTGGTTTAGCTCGCTCGCAATTGCCGCAAATTTTCGAAGAATCGATTTCATCAAACCAATTAGTGACGCGGTTAGATCGCATCAATTATAATTAGCCTGGAACAGTTTGACTCCAGTTC